ATTTCAGTGTTTAGTCATTCCCAAGAAAGTCCTCCCTTTTGTTTGTTTTAAAACATGTAAATATTGAAGTGCAACACTCAGTCACTTGATTTTGTTTTCTCACAACTGCAACTAAAATTAGTTATGGAGGATGGGTGAAAACAAATAGATGAACTCGAGGAAAGAGAGCGAGGAAAAACAAACATCAGAAAGGAAGAAACGTAGACCGAAAAAATCCAAACCCAAGAAAGGCTGCCACAACTACTCTGAGGGAAGCAGGGTGGACTGCTACAATGTCAGCTATCTTTTTGAGGATTTGTTTTTGAACTTTCTGGGAGGCATTCAAGCACTACAGCACTTGATAACATTGCAGAACTAGCATGAACGGACAAACAACATGACATGTTTGCTTTTGAAAACCAGAGCTTCAGAACGGAGAATGAAATCTAGGAGAAATTAACAGAACTGGTGTGAGTAGACCCAACTGCACTCACACCTTTAGTTTAATCAAGGCATTTAGACTTTGTTGTGCAGTTGCATAAAAGAAATATCTTTGCACACACAACCCCCCCCACTATTAAAATGCAGATTCTTGCTCCATGTTACATGTATGCATCTCCAGGTTAAATATGGCTTATATGAATTTTTCTTTCAAAAAAATGACATTTTCCTGCCATGTATTGGCAGATCAGCTCCAGTACCTTCAATGAGATCAAAAGAATGTATGTATTTCAGACTCAGATTTTTATGCTGCTCTTTAAGAGGCTTATACAATAAAGCATGAAGGGTTTAATTTATTTTGATAAATGTTAGAAAATTATTTTTTTATTTCTTTCTTCTCACATTTATTCCCTGGGCACTACAGAATATAAACCCAATATTTTATATGTATAGGACCATAGGTACTTACACTAATTCAAAGAGAGGGTGGCTCAAGTACAAAGTGAGAAATCAGGATTTTACAATTCCTGCCTTCTCGCTAGCATTATATAACATATGTATTTGCAGTATGTACACACACACACACACACACATATATATGTATAAACATTTATGATTTGCTTAGCTGGATCATACCCACCTAACCTTTTCAATGTGTTATTTTCAAAGTGTCCTATTAAAGCCTGTTGGCCAGCTTCACATTTCCTGCTCACAGAACTCAAGCCAGCAATCTGTGCCAGACTGCAGTTAGCTAATTCAAAAAGAACTTGCAAAAACCATTACACAAACCAAGAGATGAAAATCTCAGCCTTTTTATTGTCCTGATGAAAAAAAAAAGTTATCAAAATTAAAATGTGTCAGATGGATTTTATATTGTTTTCAAAGTCTTGGGATTAATGTTCATAGTAAGAAGAAAGATGAAGGACATACATAGGTAATCAGCTATTTTAGCACAATTTTTTTATGGCTGCAAAATCTTTGTGACCTTCAAGACTCCCTGGCCAAAACAGCATAATGACCATCCGGCTGACTTTACTGGCCATTAAGGAGCTGCCAGGAGACTGTTTACTGTTTCCACAGGCACTGACCCAATCTACAGGTCACACCCAGTAACCAAGGTCTTCATCAGCCAACTACTGTGCATGCCTACAACTTCCTATCATGCAGGTTTAGACATGATGCATCTCAGAAAACTATGATAGGCACATCTGTATCAGAGGAAAGGTGGTAGCCCTATCTTATTTTGAGACCACCTCACTCCATTAAAAGACTGTGGTTTTCACTTGCTTATAATATTGCCAAGACGCAGTGATTTCAGCTCAGACTTTCCATGCTGGGTCCTTGCTTCAGGCTTGTTTTGGAAGATTTAAGCCAAAACAGTTCCATCATTTCCGAGAACAAGGCTAGGAAAAAAGGTTTTATTTTGCCCCTATTTTAAAAATTCTTTGAAAAGCTGGGTCGCTCCTAGACTTTGGAGCAGGAGCATGAAATGTGTCAAAGTTTGGTCTTTGTGCCAGAACTATGCTTTCTGTCATTAGTTTTTGAAAACCTAAAATTTGTAAGAACTAGGACAAGCAGGGCAGACAGACTGGGACATGAACAAGATTTGAGGAAAAAAATGGGACTGGCCAGAGTTGAGGAACCAGGATGAAGATGGGGAATGTGAGGGTTGGGGGGGATTGCTGACTATGAGGCAGGATAGATAAGACAATGGTGTATCAGTGAGGAGCCAACAGACACAAGTACAGGTTGGAGGAGACAGGATAAGAGATGTTGAGCTTCAGTGAGCTTGTTTCTCTCATGTTTCTCTATACTGCCTCCCTCCAGAGCCTGAAGGGCTTGGTCTTGCTGGCTCCCACTACTCCTTGCTGTCAGGCAAAATGTGCTCCGATGCACCTCTACCGCTGGCCTACACGGAAGACAGTCATTGAAATGAGTGTTACTTGTCAACTATTTCACTAGGTGCTAGACAGACATTTTTATGGATAGAAACCTAAGTGTTCATACAACGCCACACAGTGCTCCCTCATTTCCTTCTGTTGGCTTGGAAAAAAAAAGAACAAACAAAATAAAGCATGAAAGGACTTTTTAAAGTATTAAGATTGAAGAACTGGGCAACAGATTGCAAGGAAAGCCAGAATTGAGTTCATGGTGCAACTTCATTCAAGCCTGTTTGTAGATATTACAAGCAGATAACCTGTAACTGCACCAGTTTTTCACCCTTGCCTTATGGCAAGCAGATGCATGCTTAAACTTTGGCACCATCTGCCTTTTGTATGCTACCTTCTTGGCCTTAAACATACTATCTTGATATACTTTTCTGTATCAACATGTGCATTTGCCTCTGCTTCAGAACTTCACCCATTGTCTACCACGTACTAATTATGTAAGGAAAACTTTATAAACTGATGGTGTACATACATACACAGCCATCATGAAAACCATAAAACCGTTATTCAAAGTTCATAGCTTGCACATGATTTATTATGTACCAATGGCATCTGCTACATATTCAAAGCTGCAACTCAATCCTTATTCTAAACCTAATTTAATCTTCCAATCCAGGAAAAAAGTGTGAGCAAATAGGTTTAAACCAAGGCTAAGGTAGAACTTCATTCCTGCATCTGCCCAATTCCCTAGTTATTTGGCTAAAGGGTGTCTGAGTTATGATATGCTGAACACATGCTGAGTTCTCTAAAGCCCAATAAATCTCACTTTTTGTGATATTTGAGGAATGCCTCCTCAACAGAAACGTTTGCAACTTGTTTCTGTGGGAAAGAAGGTTTTTCCATCACAGGACTCAAAGGACCCACTGAAGGTTTTGAGAATTGCCAGAGGCCAGCAAACCCTCCTGCTGCAGGGCACGGGGTTTCTTCCCTCCTGCAGACCTTTGGGCTCAGAAGCAGCGAGGATATTCCCTTGACTTGTTTCTCCTCCTCTGTCCTGCTCTCCCCATCTGTTACTGCCTACAGACTGGTAACTACAGACACAAAAGCTGCAATTCAGTAAAGGCTTTCCATCCCAGGCAAACTTCTTCACAAGTGTTTTAGATATACTAATTTCTAGGAAAATATAAAAATAGTTCTTAATAAATTCATGTTGGAAAAGATTTTCCATGTAAATGTCAGATGCTAAAAAACTACCATCTCCAAGGCTATAAACCACTTTTTAACAGTCATGCTCAGCTGTCATCACTACTTACACAGTGTATTACGCTGCACAAGCTACTGAACCTAATTTTTAGAAGTAATAAATAAGTAAACAGGAGATGGCAAAAGTATGTTATAAGCTTGTCTTTTTAACCAATACCTTTTCATAATTAAAAAAAAAAAGAGAAAAATACTTTTCTGCAAATATTTTTGGATGATACGATGAAAGCCTTCTATCATGCACTTGCTGGGCAGTAATAAAATTTGTTGGGGGTTTTTTTTCTGTATCAGTTGAAATGGAATAAGAAATACTGTTACATTTTACTTGGAAAAATATATGCATAAAAATATCAGTTTTTAAGGTATCAGATATCTCAGAGAACACTAGCCAACAATGAGGACTAAAATTTTCAGTGTAAATTTCCTTTTTAACACAGGTAACTTTTTTTTTTGTGAACAAAACAGCATATTTACCTCCAGGCAAAGCTTCTTTTTTTTTTTTCCAAGAAAAGTTAAACTCAATAACAACTGCATTTCAAAAATTACCTTATAGTGGGGAAATGCTTAAGATGTTTGTCTATACTTTAGAAATACTTGAGTTACTGAGACAAGCTTTCATCCATATGTTCATAGTACTATCATATGCTGAAAAAAAGCTGGATGTATCTCAGTGTCATCAGGTAGCGATCCATCTGGTACACCTCAGATGACTTGGAGATAGTGAAAACCCATTACAGAAATCAGGATAACTGCAGGAGTAGTGCTTACGCAAATCTGTGTAAAAGTCAGTCTTTGTAAAAAAAGAGTGGAAATAAGGAATAACAGCAGCTTGAGGACTTACTTAGGAGGTGATCTGAAATACTATGTTATTCTTATTAACTTGCTGAGGTAAGAAATTTACCTCTCCAACCAGCCACTGCAAAGTCTTCAAGTCCATTGCTCTAAATTACACTGACTTCTGAGTTCATATTTTAACACAGTGGTTGAGTTTTAGGATCAGCTCCCCATTTTGAGCAGAACTTACCAGTACTGACTTTTTAGATTAATTAGAATCTGTAATTGAGTAGGGTGAAGGGAATCACATAGGAAACGAACAAAAATGAGTGAACGTGGAGCCCACTGAGATACCAAGACACAACCAGTTCTCGTTATAGCTCCTCAAGTGAAATCCCTGTGAATACTGTGACTGCAGGTGAGGACACCAGGGCAGCAACACTGCCCCATTCCCAGTAAGAAGTCCCTTTACTGAGGCTCCCATGAGAGCCCCGCTGCGAAGAAATACTCCCCACTGTACTGCATGGGGACCTTTATTTCGTTTTGCAGGTATAGCTCACTCAGGATTAATCCTCAGATAATGAAGATAACCCTGGGAGGAGAAGGAAAGGAAAATCTGCATGTATACTTCGGCAGACTTGAAGAGTTGGCTCTTACCTTGCAAGGCATAGGTTTTTTGAAGGAGATTTCAGCTTGAGTCCAAACTCCCCTTGGAGAGTCCAAGACAGACCAGATTTTCTCTTGAACCACATGATTCTCCTCAAAGATATAAACAGCAAGTGTGCCACTCATTTTGAAAAATCCATATAAGGCATAATAAAAACGCAGACAAAACTGCAAGTTTCCTGGCAGGGTCGGGCCATACAGACGTCCAATGTACCCAGGCTGTGATGTAAATTTTGTGTTCGCCAGCAAGTAATAACCTGCAAGACAGTGAAATCATTGAGTATTTCTAATAAGCAATTAGCACAACTGCTTTGCTATTAAAGCAGTTTCCTCTGTTTGAAAGGAAATATGAGTTTTTCTAAAAGCATCCCAGCTGCTTCAAGCTACACTGGCACATGGCTAAGTTACCAGAAATATAGAGTTTTCAGATTTACACTGAAAAATTCTCTGGCCTGCTGGCCTCACTGGAAACCTGGCTGTTTCAGGGGTACCACTCTGAGACCAAAGAGTGAAGAACGGGGCACAAGGCATATAATTCCCTGCACTGAGTATAAAGAAGCAAGACTTTAGCACATATAATTAAGATCTATGAATACTCTACACAATGGGATGTGTGAGAAGCACTACAACAGTTTGAAAGATATTTTCAGAACTTACTAGCATGCCTTTCACTACGTGGCTTCACTACACAACATTTTACAGTTTTCCCTTAAAAATGCCAAATATCCTAAGGCTGGAAGAGCTAAAAGCCCATGACTCCTCTATATTAAAAGCTATGCATTAAGCTACTATTATATTTGCTTGCATGTTTTTGTGGAATCATCCCTTCATTGAGTACAGATCAGTGTAGCCCAGTGAAGTTACTCTGATTTATGGCCCTGCGTGACTGTTTGATAGGTTACCTTCCTGTTTTACTCATGGGGAGGCATAGCCAGAGAGTCTCAGCTAGGACAGAGCGGCATACACTGATTTTTCGTGGTAGGGGGCTGCAGTGAGGCAATCTAACCAGTGTGATAGGGACATTATTTAACAGAGTGAACAATGATACAATAGTTAACCTTTATATCCAGTTTGACTCTTCCAGTGAAAAGGAGTTTTGATTTACCAAACCCAGTAGTGTGATCTCCTGCTCTGTAAACGTTACGCTTCACTTTCACTCTGCTCCATCCTGGGCCATCCTTGTGATCCTGGTAAAAATTACACAGATCTTCCTCAAAATTGCAGCCTGCATCAGCAGGATTGAAAGGAATTCCTAAAAGATAGATGGATATGTTCTGTTAGGAAGAGCACAGTATAATAAGCACAAGTATTTGAAGCACAAGGATGCCAAAGTACACTCTGTTTCATCTTTCTTTGCCTTACAGAAGCTGAGCATATTACAGATGTTATATATATATAGTGCAAAGTCACATTGATATCAAACTATCGATTTTCTAGCACAAGTGGGTGTTACTGTCTTATATTTTTGCTGGGGCAGGGAAACCTTCTTCACAGTCCATACAAAACACAAATAAGCTACAGACATTAAGAAAAGATTCCTTCTTCAGGACGTAACACACAAAGACATTCAGACCATTTGTTTTCATCCTGCTCCTTCATTCAAAAGATATTTGGACAAAATGAGCATGAATGTGCGTGTGTGTGCATATGGTTGTCCTGTTTTCAGTTTCCAAGGGGATAGCTTTCTACCACCAACATTTAATATTCTTTTAAAGAGCACTTTTCTCAAAACCCTTTTGTAATAATGTATAATGTGTGTGCATATACGTTCCATTAAGTATGTAAGTCAAATAGCTTTTGGTTCATGTACCACCTCATGGCAGCTGACCTTGGAGCTATGCCTCACTCATTTTAGCACTGGAGCAAAGAAAGCTGCACCATTTATAGCCAAATTGGTTAAAAGCTAAGCTAAACCCCCCAGCCCTGCTGATGGCTCCTTCTTGACCTGTGATGTGGAATTCATGGGTCAGCATTGGCTTTAGTCTGAAAACATGTCCCTGGTGATCGGGTGCTTTTAAGTAAAACATTTTGACTTCTTTAAAAGCCTCCTCAGTTACTTGTACCAGATGCTGGGGGAAGGAGGGGCACCACCCGAAGCCATCATGCAATTTTCAGGTACGTCAGGAGCCAGGACCCTGTGAACATCACTCTACAGCAGCATGCATGACCCTTCTGCACAGAGGCTAAGAGGGACTCCCTGGCAAGGGCAGGGACACAGGCAGTCAGCTTCAGGAGAAGCAAAATTTTGGCTTAGGAGAGATGCCTGCAGTCTTTTCAGCCTCAAATAAGCCAGATTTAAGCACTGCCTGGGTGTCTTTTGCTGCCTACAGGAAAAAAGTGGCAGCCCTGGCCTCCCTCTGCTGCTTTCCTAACTAAAGAAAACACAGTTAGAGCACTACCAGGTACATGCAGCGTTAAACCCACGTTTTAATTTGTTCATTTAATACCTTTTGCTTCCCTTTGGCTACCATTGAGACCTTTCTTGACCAAAACTTCCAGAAAAATAAGGAAAAAACTTAATGGTGTAATATACACTGCTGTGGATGAATGCAAGCAGAATGAAGATCTTGCCTTTTAACATCTCCACTCAAAACAATTGAGGATGGAATTAGGAGGCGCGTCTGAAGGATTAACCAGCTTTGTTGTATTTCAGCAAAATATACATCAAATGACTTGCATTCATTTCTCAAACAGAAGAAAATCCCCAAAACACCAAAACTTCAAAATCAGAGTTAGGAGGCAAAGCTCTAGCTGAATCTATCAGATTTAGGGGTCAAAGTAGATCTGAACTTGGGCCATGATAGCATGACTAAATCAGGGTTGGGGCAGAAAATACTATAAAATTTATCCCAGACCTCAACACATGCAAGGCATCTGAAAGTTAAAATGGAAAACACAGATAAGCACACAGCTCCAATCCATGGCACTCTGCAAACATACCTCATGATTTTTGTTGCAAAACAAAGCGAAAACAGAACAGGCATTGAGGAGTTAGTGAAACAACTAGATTTATTCAGCCAAGAGTGGTGGATTAATATCTAGAGTATACCTCTTATTGACATTTGAGCAGTGCAGGTAAAGCTAGCAGAGACTCCAAGCTGATTAAAAAGGGCAAAAAAAATAATCTCTTTTTTCCTTGATCACTTCAAAACATTAGTCAAAAATTCAACCTTGTAAGTGAAAGAACAGGTGGGCTCAGTGGGAATCTACTACCCTACTTTTGACTATTGCTAAGCGCTACAGTAAAACCCAAGCAACCAATACACAGCTACTCATGAGGCTGTGTTCTCAAATGACAAAGTCCTTGGTCCCAAGTGCCTGTACAGCAGGGGTCATGTGGATTCAGCTGACGACTGCTGCTATGAAAACCTAATAACACTCCACTCTCTGAGATAAATAATACCTCCTGGAAGAGTGAAGATAGGAAGGCAAGGCTCCTGTTTTGGCTCTGAAGAACACCTCAGGGCATGCGACGTGGAAGAAGATACACCATACATGGGCAATAACGAAAAGCCGAGGACATTTGCTTCCTCATACCATCACAGCTGGGGAAATCCCCCTCTCTTTCTGTGGCAGGCCTGCAAATTGTAATTTGTTCAAAAGCTGGGGAGATGCAAATACAGCATTCAGTCCAGCACTCCAGTTGCAGATCCCTGAGGCAAGGTCTTTGGAGAGGAAGCATTAAGGACTGGTTTCTGGATCAAATGAATGGCATTAGTGTTTATCTGCAGTTTTGTTGCCAGGAGGAAGAGGAGCCCAGAGGCTGTAGTCGGTTGAGAAGGTAGCATCTGCACATCACTACCAAATATAGCAAGTACTGACAGACTGCTCAGAGGGGCAAAGCAAAGGGGGAAAACAAGGAAGGTAAATAGCAATAAGAACTCATACCTGTTTGATTGCTGCAGTAAACTGGAGAGAAAGAAATGTCATCAAGGGCAACATAACCTCCCTTGGCACTATTGAAAGCAACTTCAAATATTACCTGGAAATGACAATAATTTGTTATTCATCTACCATATACACAACAGTAATTTTTGTACACATCTTTGTGTTACAGAATTCTGACTGGATGTCTCTGACTGACTCCAGGGCATCTCAGAGAGCACTGCAGGTGTTGGGCCAAATTAAATTATATCAATGGTTAGAGATATAAATCAGAGCTGAACCTGGTGCCAGATCTTTGTCCACTCAAGGTCAAGGAAAAATCAAGGCGACCGTAGCTCTTTGGGTGCTTTATGAAGTGTCAGTTTTAAAGATGCAGTAAAACTATTGTCATAATACCATATAAAGCCAGTATTCAGGGTCATCACTCCGTATTCACTATAACTCCTAAGCTGCCTAATTATTACCATATCTAGTATCTACCTGGATCAAAAGCAAAAACCAAACTGCATGGATTACTCTGTATGAACTGTGGCTGTGATACTAAGTTTTCTCTAAATATCCTCAGACACTGAAGCCTATGCCTTGGCATCAGCTGGCATTTCCTTAAAAAAAAATCAGTTAAGAACAAGAAAAGCTATTGCTGTGTTTTGTTCACAAAATCAAGCAATGTTTGTACCCAGCCACTCCCAAGAGACATCATTTCCTCAAGTAAGTGGAGGACAGTCCATAACACTTGAGGAAGTGTCTCAAAATTTATCTTTAGTATCAAAGCTCTGAGTTACAGGAAAACTTAGAGAAAAGGTCTGAATCATAAGACAACCCCAGGGACAAAACAAGGATATAAGGACAAATGCTTCCAGTGTGAGATCCTGTTCAGTGAAAGCAATGCCTGTGATGTCTTGCCTATGGATGGGAGCCAAACTCAGAGAGCTGTGAAAGAATCCTGAAAGACCTCCTTTAGACAGATGAAACACAAGAAAGACCTTCTTGAAGCAACTGAAGAAATTATATGCGAGGTTATTCTTATTTCTATAAAGTGATGTCTAAAATAATGAATATGTTGCATTACATAAAAATTCCTGGAGCAGAAGAAAGGCCCATCTAGCCCAGCATCTTGTTTCCAACAGAGGTCACCTACAGAAAGAACTGAAGATGACAACAGGCTTTCAGTTATTCTTTCCTCACATTTCATTCTTGATGTATTCTTTCTTTTCCATTACTTTGTATAATCAGTTTTTGAACTGATCAGAATGATAGTATCCATATGGAATTGAGTTCTGCAATTAGGTGATGTAGGAAGAAATCCTCCCTTTTTTAAAACTGTTTTTTTTTTTAAACTGTTACCTGATAAATAAGAAGTTGGAACAGCAATGCAAATTTTGAGAAAAAGGGAACAGTTCATCTTTTCTGTGTCATTCATGATTTTTGTGAACCTCTACTATATTCTACTTCGGTCATTGTTGTTATTTCATTAACATAACTTCTCCATATTTTTGATTATCTTCATCTCCCTCTTGTAGTTCTAGGATATTCTTTTTAAACTGAGAAGGTTGAAGTTGCACAGTCTGCCAAACAGAGGGCTACCCTGTGTATTCATACAGTGCTTTGACATCCTCTGTTTTGCTGTTTATTCCTGTATAGATAATTTCCAACATTCTGGATGGTTTTATGAATGCCACTAAGAACCGAGATCATATTTTTCCAAAACTACCCACAATAACACCAAGCTTTAAGTGATCATTAATCAAATTCCATCTATAATGCTAGGAGTGTTTTTCCTCTTGCATGCTACTTTTAATATTTATCAAATAAGTAATTCACCATTCAGTATTATGAGACCTTATCAGCTCTAAACTCCTCTCCCATACCATTTGAAGGATGACAATTTCAATAGATGACTTGGTCACTGATTTTACAGATTATAAAAGGACTATGTAACATCTGATGAAAATTAGCTTTACGCCTAATAATTTCTGAAAATCTGCAGGCTTACAGTGAATTAACAAATGCCTTATGTGAAGTTAAAAAAAGCAGAATTAAAGCTGGTTTGTTTGTAATCCTAATATTATAAGTATATATATAGATAATATGTATCTATCAAATACATATATATGTATAAAATGTGTATTATATATGTGTACACATGTAAGTACCTATGTGTATAATACACATACACT